TGTGTTTTTCTCTTTTCTTCTAGTTGTAGAATTTCCACTCAGCCAGCCTTCCTGTAGTTCTGGATGATGTCCGTTTTGTTTTTTCGTTGTATTTTTTTTATTAATATATTTTATTGATTTTTTACAGAGAGGAAGGGAGAGAGATAGAGAGCCAGAAACATCGATGAGAGAGAAACATCGATCAGCCGCCTCCTGCACATCTCCCACTGGGGACATGCCCGCAACCCAGGCACATGCCCCTGACCAGAATCGAACCTGGGACCCCTCAGTACACAGGCCGACGCTGTATCCACTGAGCCAAACCGGTTTCGGCTTTCGTTGTATTTTTGAAGTTGTTGTTGGCTTGTTTTCATTTTTAAAAGTTGTTTTTTAATCTATTTTTTATTAATTTCAGAAAGAAAGGGAGAGGGAAAGTTAGAAACATCAATGATAAGAGAGAATCATTGATCAGTTGCCTCCTGCATGCCCCCTCCTGGGGACCAAGCCCACATCCTGGGCATGTGCCCTGATGTGGAATTAAACTGTAACCTCCTGGTTCATAGGTTGACTCTCAACCACTGAGCCACAACAGCTGGGTGGATTAAGTTTACTTTTTATTGTTGACACTATTACAGATGTCTATTTTCCTTCCACTTCCCTCCTCCACCCAGCTCCTGCCCATCCAAGGCCCTCACCACACTGGGTTGATTTTTTTTTTCCTTTTTTAAGAAAATATATTTTATTGATTTTTTTACACAGAGAGGAAGAGAGAGGGATGGAGAGTTAGAAACATCAATGAGAGAGAAACATCGATCAGCTGCCTCCTGCACACCCCCTACTGGGATGTGCCCACAACCAAGGTACAAGCCCTTGACCGGAATCGAACCTGGGACTCTTCAGTCCACAGGCTGATACTCTATCCACTGAGCCAAACCGGTTAGGGCCACTGGGTTGATTTTTTAAAGTCATTTTATTTTTCTCTGTCTGCTAATTTGGTATAATATCTCTGGTTTTATTTAGTGATTACTCTAGAAATTACAATGCATTAGCTTAACTGTCAAAATCTATGATTAATAAATTTACCGTCCTCCTACTCTAGCTGGATAGCTTCTGTTTACCTGTCCATAACCAATTTCCCCCCTTCCTCTCTCTGCTCTGTGCCTCAGGAGATTGATCCGTATAGATTGATCAACTGGCCCCCTTCCCTCTGGTTGGGTATTTATTTCCCCAACTCCCTCTGCTAGGTCACAATGCGTGGTCTGGGACTCTACCCAAGTCAGGGGTACCTGTCAGTTGCCCTATTCCTTAAAGCTACCCCATTTGGTTCCTGCATCTGTTCTCTCTCCTCGTTTCCTTTGGGCCTAGAGGTGGTGCTGGCTCCCCACTATTGGTTTCCTTAAACCCTGTCCACAGCTTTGTAAATGATACTTTTATGAAACCCTTCTCAAATTACTCAATTTAAAAGTTTGCTCATGAGGGAAACCAAGATGGCGGCATAGGTAAACACTGAAATTGCTGCCTCCCACAACCACTTCAAAAATACAACTAAAAGACAAAACGGACATCATCCAGAACCACAGGAAGGCTGGATGAGTGGAAATTCTACAACTAGAAGGAAAGAGAAAAGCACACTGAGACTCAGAGGAGGTGCAGAAGTAAAGTGCAGAGGTAGGGAGGTGCACATGGAAAGGGCAGGCAACTGAGGACATGGTTGCCTTTTTCAATCAGGAGGGAGTCTCAAGCTCCAGACTGCTCTGAACTCCAGTTCCGGGGGAGTCTCTGGGGACCCAGACTCATACATGGAGAAACTGGACTGTCTGGCATCGGGCGGAACTCATGGGAGGCTTTCTCTCAGAGGTGCTTGCAGCTATTACAGCGTGGGACACTGAGACATGGGGCCTCTTAGGGTAGGACTGAGGATCAGTCATAGTTGTTTGCTCCTCCCTGTTGATTCCCTGAAACCCCTCCCCACCCAAGCTGTGCTCAGAGGCTTTTGCATATGAAAGGCCTGGCCCTTTGCAATCTAAAATTACCTAACAAGCTGCAGCTGGGTCAGAGAGACCCAGAACTTCCAAAAGAAGGCCCAAGGCCCCACAGCAGCTTGCATTGCTTCGCAGCTGGGCCTCATCTAGGCACCTCCAAACCCCAAACAAAGAAGAGGAATCTGCAGATCTCTCCATAGCTCCTGTTGGGTAGCCTCAGGCAGAGGCTAAATTAGCACCCCCTTAGAGATCCAAGAGCCAGTGTACCCAGTGGTCAGAGTGGGACCATCCAGATTACAACTCCTTAGATCCATAAGGGATACACTCAGGGGGCAGACTCAGTGAGCACCAAAGCCCCACCGAAGCAAGTCTTGCCCCATAAAGGTGTCTCCAGCACAGAAGTTCTCCCACTGTCAACACAGCTGATTCTCACAGCCAATTAGACTGGAGGTAAGTTCCTCCCTGTGATACCTACAACAATCAAGGCATAACTACAACAAGACTGTGCACAAAGCCCACAAAGGGGTGCACCAAGAGTGTCCACCTCAGGTAATTGGGAAGGCTGAGCCATGGGCCCTATAGGACACCTAGCACAGAAAGCCACTCTATCAACACAGGGAAGCAGCCAAAATGCGGAGACAAAGAAACAGGTCACAAATGACAGAAGTGGAGGAAAGGAAACTACTGGATGTAGAGTTCAAAACCACACATTTAAGGTTTTTCAAGAATTTTCTAGAAACCACTGATAAATTCAGTGAGACCCTCAAGAAATCTAGTAAGACCCTCGAGGATATGAACACGGACCAACTACAAATTAAGCATACACTGACTGAAATAAAGAATATTATACAGAGATCCAACAGAAGACTAGAGGATCGCAAGAATCAAGTCAAAGAGTTGAGATACAAAGAAGCAAAAAACACCCAACTGGAAAAGCAAAAAGAAAAAAGAATCCAAAAATATGAAGATAGTGTAAGGAGCCTCTGGGACAACTTCAAGCGAACCAACATCTGAATTAAAAGGGGTGCCAGAAGAAGAGAGAGAGCAAGATATTGAAAACCTATTTGAAGAAATAATGACAGAAAACTTCCCCCACCTGGTGAAAGAAATAGACTTACAAGTCCAGGAAGCTCAGAGAATCCCAAACAAAAGGAATCCAAAGAGGACCACACCAAGACACATTATAATTAAAATGCCATGAGCAAAAGACCAAAAGAGAATCTTAAAAGCAGCAAGAGAAAAAAAGTCTGTTACCTACAAGGGAGTACCCGTACGACTGTAAGCTGATTTCTCAACAGAAACTTTGCAGGCCAGAAGGGAGGCAAGAAATATTCAAAGTGATGAATACCAAGAACCTACAACCAAGATTACTTTACCCTGGAAAGCTATCATTCAGAATTGAAGGTCAGATAAAGAGCTTCACAGATAAGAAAAACCTAAAGGAGTTCATCACCACCAAACCAGTATTATATGAAATGCTGAAAGGTATCCTTTAAGAAGAGGAAGAAGAAGAAAAAGGTAAAGATACAAATTATGAACAACAAATACACATCTATCAACAAGTGAATCTAAAAATCAAGTGAATAAATAATCTGATGAACACAATAAACTGGTGAATATAATAGAGTCAAGGGCATAGAAAGGGAAAGGACTGACTATTCTCAGGGGGGAAAGGGGTGTGGGCGGTGAGGGAAGAGACTGGACAAAAATCGTACACCTATGGATGAGGACAGTGGGGGGTTAGGTAAGGGCAGAGGGTAGGGTGGGAGTTGGGTGGAAGGAAGCTATGGGGAGAAAAAAGAGGAACAACTGTAATAATCTGAACAATAAAGATTTAATTTTAAAAAAAGTTTGCTCATTTCTTCCTAGTATTCTGACTGAGACATAGAAAATATATGAACCTAAAGTAGTCTAACTCTGTTTACTCCCCTCCAACTTATATGACATTTTATTTATTAGTTTTAAATTATGAATTCTTTCATTGATGTTACAATGAATCAAAGCCAAAGTCCTACTCACACCTAGTATATTTTAATATTTAATTGAGAAATGTAATATATATACAAAAAGTAATAAAATATAAATGTGGAGTTTAAGTATTTTAAAACCAATGCCTTTATAACTAAGACCCAGGCCAAGAAACAAGTGGGAAAAATGAGACAAGGAAGAAAAAAAGTCAATATTATTGTGAAGGTTATCACTGTGAGTAACAGGGTCTCATTCTTTTTTAAATGTATATTTTTATTGATTTCAGAGAAGAAGGGAAAGGGAGAGATAGAAACATCAACGATGTGAGAAAATCATTGATTGGCTGCCTCCTACACGCCCCACACCGGGGATTGAGCCAGCAACCTGGGCATGTACCCTGACCTTTAATCAAACTGTGACCTCCTGGTTCATAGGCCGACGCTCAACCACTGAACCACACTGGCCTGGCCAGAGTCTCATTCTTGCCTGACACTCTGAAAAACCAACTGGGGAGGCTCAGCATTGATTCATCCATTCCATTCCTCTGTTGGAGAGGGTTGCCTCTCCTCACATGAACTCCCTTGTATTTCTGGGTTGTTTCTGTGTACAACCAAGCAATCTCCCATGGTGCTGGGAGGTGCAGGTGCTTGAGAAAGTCAGTGTGCTAGGAATTTCCCGCAGCTACAAATGAGCTCAGTCTACACCCTTTCTAAATTCCCTTCACCCTTGGTCAGCAAGTCCTCTGGTCTAGGTTGCTCATCCCTCATGGAGCAGCCCAGAGTGTCATCCCTGAGAACTCTGATCTCCTGGTAACCATGCTCTCTCAGACCATGGTTTCTAATTACCAAAGTGGGCAAGGGCTGAAGAAAAGTGAAAACATTAATGACAGTTTCATGCTGTAAACTTTCTTTTCTGATGTTCTTTATTGTTTCATACTCTGATTATGTTGAACTTAAAGTGTGTATTTGAAGCACAGGCTCATCATTTATAGAGGTGTCTCAACATGGTGGCCCCAGAGCCACAGGGCGCTTCCACAATGAGAGGCAAGCCTGAGCTCTGAGCTCATGTCCTTCAGAGGTGGGGTGAGAAGCCGGCCACCACAATGCTCTCACCGGTGATGTAGCTGGCATCTGGAGAGCAGAGGAAGGACACCAGCCCTGAACAGTCCTCAGGATGACCCAATCTGTATGGAAAGAGGAGGTGGGCTGAGAGTGATGATGCTTCCTGTGAGCCATAAGCTCCTGTCAGATGCTGGGAAGTCAAGACCCCCATGGTCATGAGAGAAAGGCTGCAAGTGGAGATATGTGGGCTCTACATGGATGTTTACTCACCCCAGGGCTCAAATCTCAGAAAGAGGAATGCAGAGAGGTGATGGTGATCTTTATTCATCATGAAGGTCTGAAGTTACATGAACCCAGATCTACAAAGGACACTGCCTCACATACAACCTACCTCTGTATTCCATGGCGTCCCTTCATATGGTTCCAAAAGTCTGGATCCTCAAACAGCTAAAGGAGAAGTCAGAAGGTTAGTGCTGCTCATCCAGATGGAATCACAATAGCTCCACACCATAAACACCTTTGTGGAGGGGCTTCTGGGGGACACTCTGGGCTCGTCCCTCACAGAGGACTACAATCCTGATTCTGCCGCTCATCCCAAAGGTGGTGGACCAGAGCATCAGAACAAGAGGCCACAGGGCCAGGTGTCTCTGGGACATGGCCTGGTAGGGGAAGGGACCCTGGCACTCAGTGGGGCAGAAGCAGAAGTTGTCTTTGGTCCTTACCACTTTGCTGAAGGCTGTGTCAATTAGTCCTGGAACTAGGCAGTTCACCCGGATATCCTTTGGTGCCAGCTCCAATGACAGGGTCTTGGTGAGTCCCAGAATGGCTGCTTTACTGACATTGTAAGCCCCTAGCCTCTGTGAACACAAAGGGAAGTGGATGGCAAATAAGTAACTGAGGAGGAGAGTTTCTATTGGATCCCAGGCCTGTGCGTATAAATATATCTCTTCAGCAATGCAGAGATAATTGAGAATCTCACAACGAAAGGTTAAAAGCCTGCCATGTGTGTCCTTTATGGAGAAGGAGGGTCTGAGACACCCATTGATCAAATGTGGGTGTAGGTGTGCCCCACCAGCAATGGCCTATTCTGGGATTTTCCTGGCCCTCTCCACGTTTCTTGGCAAATGGGGCTGTTTCCTTCCTTTTCATCCAGCGTCATGGAAGGTTATACTTACAGCTGCTGGTACATATGCCAAAACTGAGGAGACCAGAACCACAGAGCTTCCCCTGGGAAGAGAAAGATGGGATAAATACGATGGAGCCACATATAAGTGAGGCAAATAGACACATCTGGGGCATGAAAGGAAGTGGAGACTGTGGACCATGAAAGTGAGTGAAAGAAATTTAGGTTCAGATTAGAGCCTGCTCCTGCCTTCCTTCAGCTTATCTCCTTTGGCCTAGACTCTAGGCCCTAGAGCATCCTGAGGACCAGGACCAAGTTTATGTTTTCATCCACACTTGGATGCTCAACCCATTAAGGAGAACTAGTATGAACACTTTTATCAAATACAGCCAACATTTGCCTTTATTCTAGACTATTGTTCCATTTACTGGCTTTGAGGGTGTTCTATACTAGGCATGCTTAAGAGTAATATTCAAAGTACATCCCAGATCCTTTGGAATCTTAATCTCAGAAGCTCCACGCCCCCCACAATCCTACCCCAAAATCCTCTGGAAAAGTTTTTCTTAAGGATCCTCAGTCACCAAGTCTAATGACCCTTGTTCAGACCTCACTTCTCTACCCTCCAATTTCCTGTCACATCAGATACTGTAGACTAAAATTTCCTTTCTGGAACCTGTTTGGTCCTCTTGAGAAATCTGCACTCTTGCCTCTCTTTTCCCCTTTACCTACTCATTCCCTTTCCTTCAGTGCCTAAATCAAGATGCTTTCATTATTCCTCAAGTGTTTTCTCTTCATGCTCTCTTTTAATTTAGGAAGAAGATGAAGTATGCCTAAAATAATTATAACCAACTATCATATAACTGTCACCTTTGTCTCCTAAATGTTGACCAAATTCCTTATCACAACATTCAAGGCTATCCATAATTTAGCAACATCCTGCTTGTCCAGCCTTGTCTCTGACCTCTTCTCTTCACTCACCCTGGATATAAAGGTTGTTCTGTGCAACACACACAGAGCAGGGATGATGGGGAAGATAATGGAGGACATGGCTAGCCCAAGAGTAAAAAAGTTTGAGAGATAAGAGTTGAGTGGGACTTGGAAATTCCACTACCCTTATTATGGACAGGCTGCAGGGTGCCTCAGTGTCATCAACCTGGACTTTTGTGCCCTGACCTGCTGCATGCAGCCTAAGAGAGGCCACTTTCAGTTCCCCAATTCCAGGACAGTTATGGGAACTCTTGGCCTTCCTGTCATTAGAATTCCGTTTCTCTCTTCCAGTCCCTGCCGATTTCTGGGCACTCTAGAAACTGGGTATTCATGCAAGAAGACAGGATTTTTTTCTCTTTTGTGACCTAGAAATATGAAGTCAAACTTTCACTAGTCTAGAGCAGGGGTGGGCAAACTTTTTGACTCGAGGGCCACAATGGGTTCTTAAACTGGACCGGAGGGCCGGAACAAAAGCATGGATGGAGTGTTTGTGTGAACTAATATAAATTCAAAGTAAACATCATTACATAAAAGGGTACGGTCTTTTTTTTTTTAGTTTTATTCATTTCAAATGGGCCGGATCCGGCCCACGAGCCGTAGTTTGCCCACGTCTGAGAGAGACCAGTTGCATTCCTCTAATTCCAGGACAGCTGTGAGGACTCTGGACCTTTCTGTCTGTAGATCCCTTATTGTGCTTCTAGTAGAGTCCTTGCCAGATTCCATGGGCATTCTAGCTATGAGAGAATGACACTATGGATAGAGTCTGAAAGTCAAATTCTCATTTCTCCTGTTTTACTGGCTCAGGTAAGCCTGCTGCCCAGAAGAAAGATCTAACTCAACACCTGGCTCCTCTTTACCACCTCTGCTTCGTATTTGACACTTAATGTCTCCATCCCTCTCCCCTTCCCTGCCCTCACCCCCTGTTCTCCATGTGGGGCAGCAGCTGGCTCAGCAGCAGGGCTGGGGCCTTCACATTGACATTCAAGATCTGAAATCAGAGCAAATGAGGGTGGGGGAGGAGAGACACTCAGTCCAGTGCATGTTCTCACTGTATTAGCAAATACACCACATTAGAACATGGGCGTGATGGCTTCTGACAATGGGAAGTGGGGAGAGTGCTGGTTTTCTTTGACATACATGGGGGGCGGGAGGAGACATTCTGAAAAAGCAGGAATATGGGGATCAGGAAGCCTTTGCAGGCATAAGACCCAGAGTCTGCAGGATGTCTCCCTGTGTCTGTAAGGGTATTGGTTAGACAAAAATGTCCCATTTGGGTCTGAGGAGGCACTGGCCAATTGAGTCTGGGGAAGGCTGGTATTATAAGCTGAATTGTGTACCACCCAAACTCTATGTTAAAGCCATAACCCCTAGTACCTTATAATGTGACCTTATTTGGAACTAGAGTAATTGCAGACGTAGTTAAAATGAGGTCATAGAATGGGCCCTAATTCAAAATGAATGGTGTCCTAAGAAGGCAAGTTTGCACATGCACACACACTGAGAATACCATGCGAAGATGAAGGCAGAGGTTGGAGTGATGCTTTTTTCTATAAGCCAAGTAACATCAAAGATTGCCAGCAAACCACCAGCAGCTAGGGAAGTGACATGAATAGATTCTCTCATAGCCATCAGAAGGAACAAACCCTGCTGATGCCTTCTGACCTCCAAGACTGTGAGACAATAAATTCTGTGTGTAAGCCACCTGGGCTGTGGTACTTTGTTACAGCAGCCCTCTGAAACTAATACAGCTGGATTTCAGGGTTTAAGCCAGCCGTGGGCAAACTACGGCCCGTGGGCCGGGTCCAGCCCTTTTGAAATGAATAAAACTAAAAAAAAAAAAGACCGTACTCTTTTATGTAATGATGTTTACTTTGAATTTATATTAGTTCACCCAAACACTCCATCCATGCTTTTGTTCCTGCCCTCCGGTCCAATTTAAGAACCCATTGTGGCCCTCGAGTCAAAAAGTTTGCCCACCCCTGGTTTAAGCCTTGGAAATGAAGCATTCTTAGGCAAGGAAGGGAGTCATTCCCTTCTCTGTGCCCCACATTTATTGTGATGATCTGGTTCTCTGTTGGGCCCTCCTAGCAAACTGGGAGCTCATGGACAGTGCAGATCAGAACTAGAGTGTAGCAAGCATGTCAAACTCATGGTGGCCATGAATTTGACATGCTTACTGCAGACACTCTTACCTCCATCTCACAGATGGGGAATTGAGTGTCAGAGTCCAAGCACCTGGCTTGCTTGGTGCCATTGAGTCTGTGAAGGGAATGTGTGTGGGGGCTGAGATGGAAAGAGGGTCGTGCAGAGGGTGAGGATGACATCCGTCAGCCCTACCTGGTGTCCCCAGACCTCACCTTGTCCCAGACCTCCTCACTGCTCTCCAAGGTACTTCCCACGTAGGGATTGACTCCTGCCACACACACCAGGAAGTCAACATTCCCAGAATGTCTCAGGGCCTGCAGGGAGAAGGGGGCAATGAGGACCAGGGTCAGGAAGCAAAAGAAGTTTTCTGTTGCAGTGGGAGGTATTTCCTGTTTGCTCTCCCTGGGTCTCTGCTTGGCTAAATCCAGGAGGGGACCACACCAAGTGAGGGTGGAGAGCTGTCTCTCCTCATCAGACTTAAAACATCTCTCCACCCAGATCTGTAAACCTGTTCAGGCTCTGGAGTAACCAATGCCGAGCACATGGTCAGCCTTCATTCCTGTGCTTGTTCGCTTGTTCATTTGATCAGGTTATGTTTTTAAAATAACCTCGCTTCCTCTTTCTACCTCCAAACCCTACCCATCTCCTCACCGTGGCCACCAGCCGGTCTCGGTCCTCAGCCTTCCCCACGTGGCACACGGTGCCAGACACGCTCAGCCCCTCCCCCTGCAGCGCTGCCAGTGCCTGGTCCACGTTCTGCTGCTTCCGGCTGCTGACCACCACGTGGGCCCCGTCCTGGGCCAGACGCCGGGCGATGGCAAAGCCAATCCTGAGGGCAGAGATGGCTATGATGGCTTCATCCCTCCCCACCCTCCTCCTGGAAGGCTGATCATGAGATACAAATTGAGTTCCACAGTGTGGTTCAAGAACTGCCTCCAAATCTTTCGAGTGGGAAAGAGGAACTATTGAACATTTTCTATATATCAGGCCTTCACCAAGACTAACCCAGTTAACTCACAACTATATGTATAATAATCATATGAATGAGAAAATTTTTATAACAGTTTAATTGAAGGGAATTTTTAAAAAGTAATGATCCTTCAGAACATGTGTACATGTGCGAGGCATCCAGCGTGAATGGTAGAGAATCTTTAACTGCCCAGTGTTTTCTCCCTTGGTTCTAGCCAGAGGCCTCAGGTGCAAATTGCACTTTCTATAAGCCTTAAAGCTTTCTTCTGTCCTGCAATTTAAAAACTTCGATGCTGAGAACATGTTCTGCCTCCATTCTCCGTCTCCTTACTTTAAGGAGGTCTGAAGCACTCTTGACTTGGACTGGTTGAGTACCTGTGATCAAGGGCAGAAGGCATACGACCCTTCTCTTATAGAAACTGCTGGGGCAACATAGAGTTTTCAATTACTCATTTGTGATGAGGGCTGGACATTGGGGACATGCAGATTTAAAACATCATTGGGGCCCTGACCGGTTTGGCTCAGTGGATAGAGCGTCAGCCTGCGTACTGAAGGGTTCCAGGTTCGATTCTGGTCAAGGGCATGTACCTTGGTTGCTTGCACATCCCCAATAGGGAACGTGCGGGAGGCAGCTGATCAATGTTTCTCTCTCATCAATGTTTCTGACTCTCTCTATCCCTCTCCCTTCCTCTCTGTAAAAAATCAATAAAAGCCAAAACCGGTTTGGCTCAGTAAATGGAGCGTCGGCCTGCGGACTGAAAGGTCCCAGGTTCGATTCCGGGCAAGGGCATGTACCTGGGTTGCGGGCACATCCCCAGTAGGAGATGTGCCGGAGGCGGCTGATCAATGTTTCTCTCTCATCGATGTTTCTGACTCTCTCTCTCTCTCCCTTTCTCTCTGTAAAAAATCAATAAAATATATTAAAAAAAATCAATAAAAAATATATTGAAAAAAAAAAAACATCATTGGAGCCAGGCCAGTTTTGCTCAGTAGTGAGCATTGATCTATGTACCAGGAGGTTATGGTTCGATTTCTGGTCAGGACACATTTCTGGGTTGCTGGCTGGAACCCCATAAGGGGGTGTGCAAGAAGCAGCCAATTAATGATTCTCATCATTGATGTTTTTTATCTTTCTCTCCTCCTCCCTTCCTCTCTCTGAAATCAAGAAAAACATATTTTAAAAAAATAAAACATCATGGTGATGTGGAAGTCTGGGATATTAACAGTTCTAAAATAAAGCGATCTAAATTTGACCATGAAAGGCCAAAAGGAAGACAGAGCCCCTGAACACCAGAATTCCCCCCTCCTGCCTGTGGTAATGACTCATTAAAGACTGTGGCCCATTATGGCAGTTAGAGGATAAGTGGAATAGGAGGTACATAGGAAGAGATGTGACCAGGAGAGGGTCATCTATGTGAGCTCTCTGAGCTGATCTTGAGACATCGCCTTGTCCAGTGCCCTACTGCCAGTGAACACTCTGCAGTCAATGGAATCCCTAAGTCTGAGAGACCAGTAGGTCTCTGGCTTCTCCCTATTAGACCAGGACCCTAAAAGCCCATGGCCACATGCCCATGAAGGATGGGGAGAGAGCTGTCCTGATGATGATAAGTTAAATACCTTAGGGTTACCCAACCAGTAAGTGGCAGAGACTAGATTCAAACACTGCTCTGATTGAACCGGAAGCAGTTGATTTTCCAAATCTATTATTCTTGGAACTTAGAAACTGGATGTTTTAGGAAGAAACACTGAGTGGGGTTAATGATAAACGCCAGAGCTGTGTAATGAGATGGGGTGTCAGGAAGGATGTGTGAGAAGGACTTCCCCTGCCCTGGGATGGGACTCTAAATCTGTTCATTACATGGACTCCCATTCACTCACCCGTTTGTGGACCCAGTGACCACAGCCACTTTCCCAGCCAGTGGACAGCTTCTATCTGCTGTTTTGCTGCTCATTCTTGCTGAGAGAAGGACTGAGGAGCATTGAAGACCCTTAAAGGCCCAAGACGTGGCCCTGAACATGCTAGTCATTGTCTGGCCTCCGGCCTTCTAGACCCAAAGCTGGGGGAGAACCTGGGAAGACAATCACCATGAACCATGTTAGAATCTGACTCCACCCATCCTTTGTGGGAGGGTTCCACTGAAGTCTCTGATAGGTGTCCTACCATCCTTTAAACTTACCAGGAAGCACAGAGCTGCTCATGTCCTTTCCATGACCAGTTCCCCAAATGGGCTTCCCTGCAATGCTGGGTCCCTGGTAGATGCCTGAGTGATACTTACCTGACTCACCACCCCAGCCCCAAACAAGGAATATCACTGTGGTCTTCTGAGAGTCACCTTTGTACTTCTCTCCATACATCTATTATTCCACAAAGAAATTGCATTGGGCTTTCTTCTTATCTTTCCCCAGCCTGTTGCAACCACCACACCCCGGTCCAAGTTCTTGTCACCTACCCCATCTGCTGCAAACTCCTCTTCCTTCAGCTCCTCACCTGAAGCAACAGCAATTGTCCCCTCATCAGATATACCAGATGTTTCAGCATTTCTGGGAGGCAAGTTGTTTTCCCACATCACAAATGACTCTGATCCAACTGAGATAAAAGTCTAGCCACTCCCCCTATGTTTAAAAATCTTTCATAGGGCCTATACCTCACATCTCTTGAACTCCAGGCCATATTGTCCAGCCCCACCTGTCCAAAGACCCTATGGTACTTGTTTCATTGTAACTGTTTCAGCAACACCTCATTTCTTCAGTAACTTTCTCTAAACCCACACCTTTCATCCCAAACCTTCCCTCCATCTTATGGGGAGATCAAGGAACAATAGTTGTCTTGGGGTGGCTACTTCCGAATCACACTAAAAAATCAAGTAGTTTTTTTGGAGATGGCCTTGGGAAGCAATGTTAGGGAGTTGAAGGAGTGGGACAGAAGGGAAGATAGCCTATAAATGGTACATTATCAAGTGAGTTATGTCTATTGGTAACTGAAGGTCAATCTTATTGAGGAACTCTGAGTAATAGTTTTGTTTCTTAATTCTCACCTGAGGATATGTTTATTGATTTTAGAGAGAAAGGAAGGGAGAATGAGAGTGACAGAATGAGAGAGAGAGAGAGAGAGAGAGAGAGAGAGAGAGAGAGAGAGAGAGAGAGAAATGGATGTGAGAGAGAAACATCAATTGATTGATTGATCCCCATATGGGCCCTGAACTGGGATTGAATCTGCAATCTTTTGATGTATGGGATGATGCTTCAACCTACTGAGCTACCTGGATAGGGAGTACAAGGGCCTGGACTTAGGGTGACCAAGAATCCCTGTTTCTAGGACTGCAGGTTTTAGCACTGAAAGGCCCACATTCCAGCAAATTGCTAAGTCCTAGACAAACCAGACAGGCGGTTACCAGCACAGGGGCACATCCAGCTCCTGTCAGTCACTAGCTGAGGACTACTCCTGGGGTGGAACAAAGAGGTGACCAGCAGAGACAGCAGAAGGCCTAGGTAAGGTGGGATGGTGCGGTAACACCATGGGAATTGGGACTTTCTCTTATGAGGGGAAAAAAGCTTGTGGAGGTTTTTACAAAATGGTATTTTGACATAAATAAATGATGATCACACTCAGGGAGCCATAAACTTTATTCTAGGCCCTCATGACTAAAATAGCCAATCATTGTTTCTCTAGTGTTCATTTTTTTGTCTTAATTCTTCTTCCATTTTCTGAGTGATCTATCCCAGTTTATTAAGCTGTTGCACAATATGGAAAGCTAACCTAACCCTTCCCAGGAACAAATCACAGGGCTCTGAAAATAGACAAGTTCACATCTGTATTCAACATAACAGCTCTAAACAACCATGCACTTACTAGCTAAATCTCTGGGTTTCCAAGCAAGTTCAATGCTGTTAATCTCAAGAAATGTTATGGACTGAATTGTGTCCTCCTGCCCCTAGGTTCATATGTTGAAGCCCTAACCTCTATGGCTTCAGAGTGTGACTGTGTTTGAGAAGAAACCTTTAAAGATGTGAATAAATTCACCTAAAATCTTTTACATATAAAAACAGATTTATGAATAAGGACCTTTATCATCAAATTTATAATAGTTGAAAAAATAGATAAACTTAAACGCTGAATATGGGATTCATGTTACTTGATGGAATATATGTAGCCATTTGAAAGGGTGTTCATAAGTAGTTTGTAACAATACTGAAATGTTTTTGTTAAAATGCTAACTAAAAAATCATGACACAAACTTATATACAGCATGGCTGAAATTATATTAGCATAAATGTCTATATAGAACAATATGGTAAGTAAGCCAGAAAGTAAATAAGCTGTGATGGAATAAAAGTGATAGATTAAATATGTACTTCAGCTTTCTCTTCTTCCCCTTCACCACTAAAAGATACTTTTTAAAAAAGGAAGAAAGGGAACAAAACCAAAGCAATATAGTAAAAAAAAAAAAAAGCACAAAAACTTTATAAAATTATAAGAAATTCTTGAAAGATAGATAGAGTTCACTTTTTAGAGAAAGCTCCAGTTCAAAATACGTGCATGGGAGAACAGCAGTAAAAGGTGAGAGCAGCTGTAGTGCCCCGAAGCTCAGAGGGAACAGATAGAAAGAGTAGCAGGGACCCGGGTAATTGTCAGAACAGGGTACTTGCATTTGGAGGAGCCTAGGCCATTAGAACTCTTCTCTGAATCACTACCATTTTGTCAAGCACCCCCTGAGAAAGAGCATCAGCCCTGGGGAGGTCACCACAAGAAAACCAGAAGGAAGTTGGGTTAGCCCAGCTGGTGTGGCCCCCTGGTTGAGCATCGACCTATGAAACAGGAGGTCATGGTTTGATTCCTGGTCAGGGCTCATGACCCGGTTGTGGGCTTGATCCCCCGTAGGGGGTGTACAGGAGGCAGCTGATCAATGATTCTTTCTCATCATTGATGTTTTTTTCTCTCTCCCCCTCTCCCTTCCTCTCTCTGAAATCAATTAAAAAAATATGTATTTAAAAAACAAAGCTTGGATTAATACAAGAAAAGGAAGAAAATAAGAAAAAAAAGCATAATGAAAAACACAAAATAAGATTTCAGGGATAAGTCCAAATGCACATGAATGTTCATAATAAATGCGAATGGGTTAAGTTAACATACTAAAAGATGGAGTCTCTCAAATCTTTTAATAACCCAGCTAAATATAATTCACAACAGACACAATTAGAACAAAATGGTTAAGGAAGATTGACAATAAAGAAATAGATGCCAGCCCTAACCGGTTTGGCTCAGTGGATAGAGAGTCAGCCTGCGGACTGAAAGGTCCCGGGTTCGATTCCAGTCAAGGGCATGTACCTTGGTTGCGGGCACATCCCCAGTTGGGGGTGTGCAGGAGGCAGCTGATCAATGTTTCTCTCTCATTGATGTTTCTAACTCTCCATCCCTCTTCCTTCCTCTCTGTAAAAAAATCAATGAAATATATTAAAAAAAAGAGAAATAGATGCTGACATAGCAGGCAAATATTAAAGGACAAGTAAGATAATATTATAATTAGACAAAATATAATTCAAGGGAAAAGGTATTAAAATGAAAACAGTTTAATAATTTATATTCATAAATTATACATAAAATAAAAATTATAGTAGTTATTGTTATGTACTTAACACATAAGTTTAACTTTCTTTGTTGTTGTCAATCCTTACCCAAGGACACGTTATCCATGGATATTTACTTATTTATTTATTTTTAAAAATATTTTTATTGATTTTTTTACAGAGAGGAAGGGAGAGGGATAGAGAGTTAGAAACATCGATGAGAGAGAAACATCGATCAGCTGCCTCCTGCACACCCCCTCCTGGGGATGTGCCCACAACCAAGGTACATGCCCTTGACCAGAATCGAACCCAGGACCCTTCAGTCCGCAGGCCGACGCTCTAACCACTGAGCTAAACCGGTCAGGGCTCTCCATGGATTTTTAGAGAGAGTGGAAGGGAGGAGAAGAGACACAGAGAGAGAAACATCGATGTGAGAGACACATCAATAAGTTGCTTTCTTCACGTGCCTGCAACTGAGGCACGTGTCCTTGACCAAAATCGACCTGGAGACCCTTTAGTCCGAAGGCAAATGCTCTAACCACTGAGAAAACCGGCCAGGGCTTAACACATAAATTGACAAACCCACAAAGTTATCAGGTAACTTAACATATATCTTTCTGAAATCAACACTTTAATGGACAAGATGTAAGTAAGATTATAGAGAATTTTACACAATAATTAACAAGGAAATCTCAATAAATTCCGAAGAGCAAAAATTATGTGGGTCATCCTTATTCACTGACCTATGTGCAAAATATAAATGAACACAAAAGTATAGTACCCCCTCCTCCCCCTAACATATACCTGGAAATTTTAAGTCTCCGATCCTTGAACAGAAGCCTGGGACCAGAGCAATCATGGAACTCTGCTGATGGCCCTGTTATTCTGGTATATAAGGGCTCCATCCTGTTCCCTTTTGTCTTTCTGGACACTCCCCTAAATTCACCCCGTTCCCTGCCCCAAGTCCTTTGTTGAATCATGAGAACATCTAAGTAATGTGACATCCTTAGAATCACCTGTAATGTCCCTGAATAATCCCTCAATATCCTGCCTCCAAAGCTGCCCCAACTAGGTTCCTGGTAACAAAAGTTCCTGGAGGAAGACAGGGGTTCGCATTCCCAGGGACAGTACAGACAGGGGGCATGGGGTGATGATTGCAGTAGGAGAGAAGGGACCTCGGTAAGGAAGTGGACATGAACCCTGCGTGTGTGTGCGTGTGTGTGCGTGTATGTGTGTGTGTGTGTTGCCTGAACTTCTAAAGCATTTCTGGATCCTCTTGATGTTTGTCATGATGAATTGTGTTTCTATGAATGGCATGTTCATACTTGTGACATGTGTTTGGAAATTCTACTTACTCTGCAGATTTCCTGACTCTAAGAGCACGGTTATGCAATTTTTGGGTCCTCCTAAAATGCTTGCAAGTCGACACTGAACAGAGAGATTAAAATGTGTTTATCTGGTCTCTGAAAGTGCTGTCTGTCCTCCTATATATGCCATGAACTTCTTCAATTGTGCAATATTTCAAATGAATGGTGAAGAACAACATAATATATTCAATTCCCACATTTAGCAAATAATATTTTCCCTATTTGCTTCATCTTTCTAAAAAAATGAAAACATAGCATTCTCCCTACAGGGAGCATACCTGTGGCATTCCCTTCCCTCTCTCCTTCTCACCTCCCCTTCCCCCATAGGGATGTGTCCCCTAACTTCTAAGGGACCCC